TTATATATATTATTTTATTATATGCATAAATAAAAGGTTCTACAGACATGCAAAAATGTATACATATATGTATAAACCACATATTCTGTAGACTATTTTATAAGTGTGAGGCCAAAGAATTAAACCATCTATATGAACAAACATAACCCTTTAATTTTCCCATCAAGCTAAAAATGTATCAACTAACTCATTTGTTTTCTTTCACTAGAGATGACTACCCCAAACAAGACACCACCTGGTGCTGATCCAAAGCAGTTAGAGAGGACTGGTACTGTTAGAGAAATAGGCTCACAAGCAGTTTGGTCTCTTTCATCCTGTAAGCCAGGTAAAATCACAACAAATTATGTAAAAAGCTGAATGTACATTTTTCTTCTTAGAATAGATAATGTTTTATGTTTTGATAAGAAGACACACATACAGAGTGTAGCAGTAAAACTGCTGTAGTGTAAGCTGTATGGGTAGCCATTACAAATAATTTTGGCCTAGTCTATATTTGATGCAATATGAAAATTATAACTATATCAGAAATCCTACAATGAGGAAATATATTAACAAAACAGATCTTTTACCGATCTTATACTAAATTGGTTTTTACTTGCACAGTGAACAAACTAAATCGTGTAAGCAGAAACATAGTCAGCACTGTGTAATTGTTTCTATGCTTTGGCATTTTGCCTGGGTATTTTCGATTTTTAACTTAGAAAAACCATGCAGCTGGGCGACCTAAATGTTCTGTCCAAAATTTGTGTGGACTCGGCCATTATAGTGTAGCTCCCTAAAATCCTGCAAGTAAAATGAAACTATCGTAAGTGGTCCTGAGGTGCAGTTAATGATAGCTTATACCTGCTCAAAATATCTAAAAATCTGTATTCTTTTCATTTGAGGTAGTTGAGTTGCTATTTCAGAAACATCTGTTGGGAATTGATCTGGTATCTTGCTGCAGCCTACAGTCAATGTCACAATATTGTGCTCTTTGGTCTGATATTCTGGTATCTGGCTTGGAGACAAATGTCATATGGTTTAGTAGCTTCAAGCAGAGTGAAGATAATTTTTATTACAGATTAAACTTCAACTGCTGAATTAAAATTGCAGCTAGTGTGGGCAATCAGTAAAAGGATGTGATTAGTAAAAGGACAGATAATGAGGGAATGGAAAAATAAAGATTTGGAGTTGTTTCTTTAAACGTGACAGCATTAACTTTCAGGAATACTGGTTTTGGCATCTATTGCTTGTTCTAGCTACTAACTTGAAAAAGTAAAAATATTTCAGCAAGTTACTTGCAAAGAAGATGTTATATTTGGCTAAAATTTTATAATAAATTAACGGTTTCTGCTAATGATTTTCCTTTAGTTCAGCCGTTCGATTATAGAATAGCTGGAAAAGCCTAACCATTAAGTATTGTTCTTGCAATTAGTATGAGTTAACCATTAACCATTTGAAATTCCAGGACGTGTTGAATGGTTTAAAACCCCACAGACTTCAACAGGAGATAAGAATGTAAAGACACTCAAGTACTGAGCTTCGATTGACAGATTCCCCTGTCATTTTTGTGTCACAAAAGCATAGGCACAACTTGGATATCTAGAAATGTTTCCTTATATGTTATAATTTAGAATACACACTGTAGTTTGTAACAGCTGAAGAAAAGTTATGTCTGTGATGTCTGCATCACGGAAATGGGATATTCAAGACTATGACATTTTCTTTTTCTTAGGATTTGGAGTGGATCAGTTACGAGATGATAATTTAGAAACTTACTGGCAGTCAGATGGATCACAGCCTCATTTGGTGAACATCCAATTTAGGTATTCAAAATTACTCTTTATGGGTTAGGGTGTTTTGTTTGATTACTGTTCACCAAGATAGGAATTTTGGAAGTGCAAGGACTCCTGGGTTAATCCTGTTACCCAACTGGTAAGAAGCCAGTTAGATAGCATTTATAATGATGAGCTTTTTCAAATGTTATGGTTACTAAATGTGTAAATAAGCAACCAAAAGGAATGTTTAATAGTATGTCATTTGTAACAGTTTCACAGTTACCTACCTAAGATGACACTTTTGTCCTGACTTCCTGTCTTTGAATGTAATTTGAAGGGTAGATGACTGTTTTTAAAGTAGTCCTGTGTGACTTAACAACTGATCGTGTGAGAAACCTTTTCCTATTCTATTCTGTGTAGGGTGTTTTCAGTCCTTTTTCTTTAACCAAACTCTTAAGATGAGGTTAAATGTTTGTCACCTTTTTTTATTTGCTTTCTGGAGAACTCTTGGAATAGTAATAGAGCCCATATTTGGTAAGCTAATCATATACTCCATCACATACAAGTGCTTATTTGGCATCTTAGCCTTTTGTTGTATTTCTTGGTATACTGACACTTCTGAAGGCAGACAAAGGAGAACAGTGAAAATCAACTGTGTGTGCATTACTTAATGTGGAAAAACACCTAGTTGCTTTAACAGTGAGGTTCTTATAAATCAGTAGACACGCTTGTATTAAGTTTTAGAACATGTAAATCCTTAGTTATTACAAACTAGCAACAAACTCATCCTGAATATTTTTCTTTATGATGCTTACGTAGCTTTTGTTGCTTCTTGCAGAAGAAAAACAACAGTGAAGACGTTATGTATTTATGCAGACTACAAATCTGATGAAAGTTACACTCCGAGCAAAATCTCTGTCAGAGTAGGAAATAACTTTCATAATCTCCAGGAAATCCGGGTAGGTCAATGATGCTTTGCTTTCTGCCTTAAAATAGTCCTCTCTCATTAGGACGTCTGATGTAGTAAAATTGTTTTTGGCGGTAAAATATGGCATTGTGCTCGGAGGAGGAAAATGGCTAGGTTTATTTTGATGTTTGCTTTTAGTTTTTACCTCGTAAATTTGAGGCTGGTTTCTGGTTTTATCAGGCTCCATTACCAACATGGTTTTAACAGACTTCATATATAGATCCTGTAATGGAATAAAGAGTGGTATTTTCCAGAACAAGGCTGTTTAGAATTGGTTAAACTTTGATCTCACTTAAAATATCTGCAAACCCTATGCATTGCATACATCAAAAGGGAGACTTAGCTTTTAAATACTTGCATTTTTAGACTTAAAAAAAAAAAAAAGCATGAATTCAAGTTTACATGAATGGGTTGCTCAGCTATTGAGTCTCACTAGGAATCAGAATTTAAAACTACAGGTTTTAATTATGGCTGTGTATGGTGCATAAATATCTTTGGAGTCTGGATTTCATTTTTGGGAGGCTGCATGTACTCTTATTAGCTAGTAGCATCTGATTCAAAGCTCACTTTGAGACCCTGGCAAAAAGAAATTGGGACACAAGGCCTGATCATCAGTTATGGAAAGGTTTCTTTGTATTCTACTGGTTAGGGAATCTTCATGTAAGTGAGAATCTGTGACGTATTTGCTAATACCTGATGGTGAGAGCTAGGGGAATTGCAACACTAACTTTTCCAAAATCGTATACAAAGCAAGCAAGATACCAATTTAAATTGTAAGTCTAATGTAAATTACAATCAAATGTGTTCATAAGTATAGTTTCTAATCTTTTGCAATGCTGCTTTTATACTGGACAGTCACTGAGATGTAGAAATTTTGGAAGGGATGCAGTATTTCTGTTTTTAACAATAGGATGCAAAATCCAGTTTCCATTTCTGTAGGTAGGATATTTGATGCTTAAGGCTTCGAATGGGACATAGATTTGTAGTGTTTTGTTAATGTTTTTATTTACAAAAGTGTAATAGTCAAACCCAGTATTTTTTCATGGTAACACTTCTAACCAGAAAAAGTTTCTTTGATGGAACAACTGAGATCAGATTTGAGTTGCTCTAACTGCTTAGTTTTGCTAGCCTTTTGGTAAATAGTAAACACAGATTTAAAATAATCCATGATCTTTGTAGAAGTCCACTTTGTAAACTAATCGGGTTACTCATGAGCAGGTATCTGCTAATTTTGAGTTATGGTAGCCTCATGTTTCAGATTCCTTTTTTCTGGAGCTAGGCAGCTACTGGCTGATATATTGGGAAGGTTTAACTTATCTCCCTTATATGGCAGGTATTACAATAACAGAAGGATTGGAATGATGAGAAAAGGGAGGTACTACTAGTGGTTTGAATTTTTAATTTTGGGATTTTTGTTTTCACTTTGTTTTTCAGTGTTTGAAGTCCCAAGGAGAGCAACTTATAAGTAGAAGGTTGTAGGTGAAGTGGGAATAGAAAGTGTAGTAAACATGTATGCCTCTTACTATGTTGGTGCTATGTATCTATCTATATCCTTTCAATGATTTCTGATGTTCTCTCAAGTTTTGACCTACGCTTTTATCCTAAATCTTAAATGGAAGGGTTTTGACTCTCTTTATTTTTTAATTAAATATTCTTTTGAAAGAAACGAATCATCATATTGCTTTGACTTTCACCAGCTGCAAATTCTGTCTTTTAATTTCTTAATGGCGTCGTAACAATTTGGGAGTTTCACATTGTAGAACAGTACCAGCAACTGGATCTTTTCCTTGTGTTAGGCTACGGGTCTGTTTTCCGAGTGTCCACTAGATGTCATTGTTGTCCTTAATGATCAGTTTGATTTTGTGCTTGTAGTCTACTCTTCCAATAACTAAATGATTATCCTTCTATAATAATGCTTAGTACAGCATTATACATATAACTGCAATAACTTAAGTTTCTTATATAGTGGTAAACTTCCACTTTTGAGGGTACATGTGTTATTAAAGGCCTATAGAAACAATAAAATATATAATAAGCATATTAGTCTTCTGCAGTTTCTCAGGCAATATTTCTTTAGCTTTTTTCTTGCTAAACACAGGATTCTATACATAATGCATTTAGTTAAAAAAGGCACTTCTAAATGAAACAAGTTACTAGTATCTTTTGTAATATATGAATATGACTGTAATATGTTACATGAGAGCAGTAATTCTTATGCATACCACATGCTCATATGCTTTTTTACTTCAAAACTGAGATGAAAATATGGTCAAGCTGCTTACTAATGAGATATAATACTTTGCTGTAAAATAGTAGGGACTAACTTTGTTGCCACTGTAATGTTAAATATTACTATCAATTTTCATATTGCCTAAACTGCTTGATACTCAGAATGCATTTCTTAAATTTTCTTTCAGTCCTGAAATGTTCTCTTTTATTCAGCTTCTCTGACACATAGGCAGGTTATTAAAGCAGTGTGAACTGTTATGAGCTCTTTAGAGAAATCTGCTTAATTATACAATGATTCCATTGGCTTCAGGACTGATTAACTGGGTGGAAAATCCAGCTAAATCATTTTATATTTTTCCGTGGATGCTTGCCGAGCTCATGGTGTCTAATGAGAGGCCTTGATGCCTTCATGTGTTTTCTTCCTAATGGCCTAATTTTCAAAACAATGCAATGTGCTGTTAGGCCAGGTTTTATCGCTAATATAAGATTAGATTTAGTTTGTGGTCTAGTATGTAGTTATGTTCTTTTTGGAACCTGAGATGAAATTATTTTCTGAATAAAAGTGGTTTTTGGGGTTTTTTTGTTTTTCTTTTTTTTTCCCCTTCTGAGAGACAAGTCATTTGTACCCTGTCCTATGGGTGAGAACAGGCATAGTCTGGCAGTATTACTGCCTTGCTCAGCTGGAGGAACTACAGTTAAGATGTGTGCAGTAAGCCTTCTCCTCTGACTTAAGTGCCTCTTTATCACAGCTGTCAAGCTTGGAGAGCAAATCTTTTCTCATTTCCAGTCTCAGAGTTCTCCCACATAATGGTGCAAACAGTCTAGATGGACAAGATAGTCTATAGAGGCATTTTTGGAACATCATCCAGACTCTTCAGTATGTGATTTTAGTTATTACACTTTCTCACGATATGAAGATAACCCACCGCAAAGGACGTGAGTGAAATGTTGGCTGCAAGAGATTTCTGGTCTCTTCAAATAATGCTCACCTGCTTGTTGCTTTTGTACCTCTCCAAGACATTTAGGTCATCAGCAGTTCATCTTGCCATAAAAAGATTAAGTGTTGTGATGCTAAGTGCAGGTAGGATTTCAGGTTATATTTACCTAGTGGTTTCAATGGCTTCTGCTGTCAGCTGTGTAGGGACTCTACACAGCAAAGCAAGACGCCTGTAAACTCTTGTATTGGCCAGTTCTACATTTTTGGATATGAAAGACACTCTGGGAAGGTGTGGGTCAGACTTTCTGAAAATAGTTACTCACTTCTTGCATTAGTTCATATCTGAGAAGCCACTGGTGTTTAATCCCAAAATTAAAGTTGCTTTAAGAGGCAGAACCCCTCCTGAAAGAGACAAAGTCTTCTATTCTGCTGTGCCCTGTAGAGGACTCAACAACAGAATGTGGCGTACATGTCATGGCTGTAACTAGCTAAGATGCAACTAGACAGGTATAATTTGCTTCCAATTCCAGTCGGAGTTAGTTCTTCCAGCACACTTTTTGGACTTCCCCATGGTTTTTGATTTGGCGTAGGACATGTTTTTCGTTAGTTGTTTGTGTAGTTCAGAGAAACTGGCAAACCATTGCTAGTGCATGGCATTGCTATGTGTACTTTGGTTTTCAAATTGCTTAAGGGTAGTAATAATCGACATGGCAGATAAGATGTATTAATGTTCAGGCCTAAAAGGAAACGATCAGAAATACCCCGTGGGAGGCGGGGATAGGAAGCTGCTAGCAGTGAATGTGCTCTCTTTATGCAGTCTGGCAAATCTGCAGATAGCATCGTGGCTTTGTGTAACCTAGGTAAGCAAGGTGTTTGCTCTTTGCTTCTTTCGGAAGCTGTTCAGTCTGAAGCAATGCTGCTGAAACAGGGTAACTTCCCTGGTTGACAACCTTCACAGGTATGCAGTGATCTATCACTGGGCAGTGATGGATAGCCCTTATACAGAAAAAAGACACTTTGTTACTGGAGGTCCTATGTAGCAGCCTTTGCATCAAGGGAGGATACCAAGTATTAAACATTGCTTTGGAAGAGGCCTGCTTTAACTCAGTTGCTGTAGGCTTTCCACCTGGAACAAAAGCCTACTTAACCTTTTCAACAGGACTCAGTTCTGAAGATGACTTTGAAGACTCGGGTGAAAGCCCTGTTACCTTAGTATGTCTTTCCTGGCAACAGTGCGAGTCCTTTGTTTCAGCTTTTTGTTGTCTTTTGTTGAATTGCTGTCTATTTCGGTTTTGGTTTGTTTTCCAGCCCTTTTGGTCTTGGCGTTTTGTAAGGAGGTGCTCCAGACCTGTCACAAGCACAGCAGACTCCTTGGCGGCATGGTATTGTGACCAAGCACCACGGACAGGGCCACTTCTTCACAGATTTAAGAGATTCTGCACTAGAGCAGGGAACTATCAACCAGAGGAATGCCCAATCTGGGGAGCTTTTCTGAGAGGTAGTTAAGGAAGTCTGACCTCATTGTAATATCTTTATTCCTACAGCGTCCAGTGATTGTAGTGAAGAGGCTGGACTCTTCTAGACATTTTCTGAAATTCAACAGCTAGCAATCTCAACCTGTTTTCTGTATGTGGGGTAAACTTAGATGCTGAGGAAGAAGGAGATGCTAACTTGTCATAGGACTGTTGCAAGCTAATGAATCAAGAAAATGTACTGCTTCTGAGTCTCTGACCAAACATCTCTAAGGTGCATTTTAAACTGCTTTCCTCGGAAGATGAAGTACTGAGTTGTTACTGCTTTATTTAGATTCCTGACTAGGCTTCAAG